CTTACTAGCAACTAGTTTCTGAATCAAATCAAAAGTATTTGCCATGAATGTAAATATGTACCTGCAAAGTATGTCAATAAATTTGTGTGATGTTGACCAGAGAGCTTTATCATCTAGGCATTAATGTCGCTTCTTACATTAGGTGTTCAGCATAGTAATTACGGATGAACTTTGTGCCAATATCTTCAATGCACAATGTAGGTATGTAGCATGTCTACAACCCTCACTGATCCTGCTATAGCTATAGGCATTTGGCACCAGCAAGACCAAGGGCATGAACTTCACAGTTGCTCAATTCCTTTTGGCATGTACCACCAGTCACTTTTTTACTTAAGGTGCACATAGCAGTGCACAGTGCACACAACAATGTGGAGAGGGCCTACACAAAAACAACATGATTAGTGTGCACTATGCACAGCATTGTACCCTGATTATTTGAATAGTTTGATCACTCAACAGTCAACAGTCAGGAGATAATTATTGAATATCACATTTATTATACATCACTTGTCAAACAAGAGCATGATGACTCACATTTTGACAAGCAATCATGGTAGTATTCCAAAAAGTTGGACAGTCATCTCCCTGGGCGTCATTTTTCCAGGAAGGTACCTCTGCAGGTGTTGTGGTAGGCTAGGTTGAATTGGGTTAAGTTAGGCGAAGTAAGGTGGTTAGGACCCGGTCAGACCGTAGGGCCTGGTCAGGTTGATTTTAATCTTTCATTCTAATTTGACATACATATACCTATTACCTATGTATGTTTTTGCTCCAGCCTGAATTTCATTAGGTAATGAGTTAATTTTGCTTTGTTTTTATCTGTCTTGTTTTGTGTTTTTGTCCTTATATTTTGCCCCATAGGCAAGGGTGGAGCTTTTCCAGGGAAGGCACGGTGGAGCATGATTGGAGGCGCTCAACCAGACGGCATAGGAGGGCATGGTTTCTGAACGCGCACTGATGCCTGATTCAAGCCACGCTGTCTTCATGCGGGGCGGCGCGCTACTTAAAAGTCCCTAAAAGAACGGGAAGTGATGCCAATAGAATCTTCAATCATTCTGGGCTAACGCTTATGACTTGGAAAAAGTCGCGATCCCAATTCAATCGAAAACCTGTGGGCTCTTGTTCAGCAGGAGGTGTATGAAGAGCCACCCGCCATAAGCACTGCTCAACCGCAGGCACAGGTTTAGACGGCGTTGGTCCGCATCAAAGCCAGTGTGCTGGAGAATCCATTGGCTGAAATGCTCCAGAACATTCGCCAGTCGCCGCTGTGTTTTTATGAAAGGTGGCTACTGCAAGCTCAGTTAAAAAAGTACCAGATTGTTTTGCTTTTACAGCGGGAAGAAAGGTGTCCGGATAATTTCGTTACACCCCCTGTAATGTTCAAATGGTTGCTAAATTCGAAATCAGCTCCAAAAACTAGCCTAGAAACATGTAAAACTCGAAAAGTGAACCGAGGTCATCAGAGGTCATTGAGCTGACCTGACCTTCAGGTGACTTTGACACCCACCCTAATGCATGGGACCAGCTTCATATCACATGTTTCAACGCTTAAAACCACGTGAAGACTGCAACCGCGCGGCTAATGCGAGCCGACATACGCCGAATCGTGATTCTGGCCAAACATGGTCTCGAGAAATAGGTCACAGGTCAAAGGTCATTTGGGTCAGGGCCATGAAATTTTCAGGGTAGGTGTAAAATGGATAAAATCGGGGGTATTGAAAAGTGCGTCGCGATCGGACGGTTTTTACGCGAATTACTCACGAAAAACCGATATAGCGCACCCAAAAAGGCAGAAATATGCACATGCGATATCCTATACTGCGAAAAAAGGTGCATCATTTTTGAACGTAGCCGACAAATTGTAATTACCCTAGGCTCAGGCAGATGTATGGTAGAAAATCCCCCAAGTGAAATACACTACGGCGGAAATAAAATACCCTACGGCGGAGCTCGGTTGCAATTTGTAAATACGCCTGCTCGCCGCCCAGTAATCAGCGCTGGGGTCAGGTCAAGTGTCAGCGCTGGGGCCAGGTCAAGTGTCAGCGCTGGGCCAGACCTGTAGTTAGCGCTGGGGCCATCTCAGACGTCAACGGAGCGGCTGCCCAGGCCCGTGCCAACGCCACTAAACCGATGACCCCGGCGGACGCGCAGATCGCAGACGATCCCGAAGCAAAGACGCAAGTCGGTCGAAGGCGCAATACAATCAACTACCCTCCCATCCCTCACTAAAATAGACCGCCAATAATGAACAATCGTAAGGTAAACTCGACTCTAATAGCCTACCGCGGCTGATAATGAATCCCGTGTCGATATTGGACGTCCTGCTTGCCCTATTGACGTCAAGCTCTGACCAGCACAAGCCGGATACCGAATGGATAAAAAATCGAGCGACAGTCCACCACGGCGTCCACTATGATGTGCCCCGCTCCATACCACACCCATCCCCTCCCCCTCCCCGTTGGGGCGTTGCATCATCCTCGAGCAGCCTGAGCCGACGCCGCCGGCCCCACCCCTCCCCTCCGCCCGGGGCACTCCAGTCAGTCTCTGAATCCGACGCGCACACGGAAGTCTGGAGTCACTGGAGAGGGGGGGGGGGGGGGTCAGGTGGCCGGAGCACGGAGGATCACATGACCGCAGCGTGATATTGGCAGGAGAGGGTGCAGCTCCCGAGTTGAAAGGGGCGCGCCGCCTGCAGGTAGAAAGAAAATGTATGCGGGGAATGTCATTTCAGGTGATAAAATGTATAAACGGAGGCGGGGGCGATGCGAGGCATGTCGTCAGTGCAGTGAGGCGCTAAAGCATATAACTTTGGCCAGGCGAAGTGACAGTGACACACAAGATGTGCGGACGAGACAGGGAAGAATACATCAACACAATTAGACGCGTGGCAAGATGAGGCAATTATTTCCCTCGAGAACTCAGCGCGAGGCTCGTATACGTCTCGGTTCGGTGACGTATCTTGTGTTGACATGATCTGCAAATACCACACAAACGTAAATACCGTAATTGACTGCATCCATGACATCTATTTGTATCCACTAGGATATCATCCATCGCGACTCAGCGATGCGAGAATAGCTATGTCACTGCTGCTAGGAGACGAGCACAACACCAAATGAAGCACCAAACTCGTCAGGGTGATTACAGATTACGTTGCGATCCCGTGACAGGCCGTGACGCGTATCAGGCGACCGACTTATCTTGCAGACGCATTGGAACGATCTCCCGAGTCGCCACACTTCAGCTAAGCCTGCGCAATATTCTGCAGGCTCGATAGCCGCTATCATCGACGCCCGGCCGTCGGAAGTGCGCTCCAGTCTCACGACTGACAAGTGGGCTCAGCCGCACCTCTCCTCCCCAGCGGGGGGCGTTTGAGAGGTCAGGCCACTGCCCAATGTATGACGAGTTGAGACTTGAGAGTTCTCTCCCGCAGACAAAGAGACAATCTTATCATAAATTTTCCGACCAGAAAAGTGACATCCCGGTTGGGAAAATTCCACATCTTCCCTCCTCTCACCTACCTAGCTCAATCGTAGATTACACATTTCAATAGGTCCTCACCCACCCGTGCCAATAATGAGCCCATTCATTTGCTGCGTCCTAGTTGATGCGATGAGTGCCGGCCGATAGGACGATAACATGTCTCGAGCAGGGCGCCAGCCACTCGACATGGTTTTCGGGGGTGAAGTGGAGCGATCTCACGTGGCCACTTCACAGAAGGTCGTGTTGCAACGCTCCAGAACGTTCGACCGTGTCCGTTCAAATCATTTAACATTTGCTAAAATATTTTGATATAACAAAGCACTGTGACTCGGCGAAATAATGGCCGTCTCTCAACGATATGTCGATCTTGCCATGCTAACTATCTTGCCAGTTGCCTACTAGCGCCCATGGGTCACTGGACGATTTATTTAGGCAGTCCGCTCGCCTCCTAAAAAATAAAACACAGTAAAAGTAGGAAGTCTCTTTTTCAGGTAAGGTAAGGAAGGACGCCAGACAATAAATGAGGAGGCGAAGGAAAAAATCGGCGTGTCTGAAATGGAAGGAAATGGTACATTGTGCACTTTTCACAGGGTAGGTACATCATCCAACTCTTGGTGAGGATGTACGAAGCTCTCAGTGAACCCTACGATCAAAACCAAGCTCATACAACCGCACAACCATGTTGATCAACATTTTTTTTTGCAAATGATATTGCTTGAGCCATTCATTCTTTTCATCATACCGGATGATGAAACCGTGCGTTCTGTGGCGTGGCGTGCCATTTTATCAGCCGGGCTATCAAGATCGATGCAATGCTTTGCGCAGCGCAGCATGATAGCCACTCAGTGCACCCAGGTCACAGGTCTGGAGGTCAGAGAGCACAGGTAACAACTAACAGGTCATAAGTCAGAGGTTTCAGGTCACAGCCTACCTTCCTCAGCTAAAAGCGGTGTTAGGATTACGGGTATTCGAACCTAAGTCGGCGGTCGGGGTCGAATGGAGGTCTGAAAAAAGACTGCCGATCCCCATGCTTCACCACGACTAATCGCATGGAGAATAAATTGACCAAATACCCTACTTTTATCCTGTACTAAAAGCCGAAAAAATATACTTGAAATTATTTGCTTTAGTCACCGACTACCCTACAAACGTCGATCACAATCCTTCAATACCGACCACAGCAAGACGGTTTGCCAAAACCGTCTCCCCTGGCATCTGTGCCATCTTTAGACTTGCCATGACCTCAGCCAAGGTCAGTCCGGCTTGCGCGCCGCGCCCGGGCCGGTTGCCGCCGGTTGGTCGCCGGCGATCGATACCTGGCCCACCGCCAGCCGCCGCCGCCGCCGACGGGACGGCCAAGTCACGTGACTAGGGGCGTCGGCGACGACGACCCACGCTGTCGGAGCCGACGGGAGCCACGATACACCCCTGGCACGTGCCGCCCGACGATACGGTGTCCAGGTGCTTCGACAGACGGACGGCTGATCCCATACAACTGATACCGCAGCCAGATAGCTAGGTTCTTGGATTTGGTTTATTATGTATGGCCTGTTGACAATTGTGATCAATGATCAAGTCATGGTCATAAAAACACATACGTACATAGTATCAACAGCACGCTTTGGTCAAAACAAAAACAAACTCGCTCGCAAATCGCAACACGCGTAAACTTTGAAACTGCCACGCAGCGTCAAACATTGCAACAAAACAAGCACGAGCGCAGCGGGACGCGATCCATTCAGGCAAACACCAACCCAACAGCTTACACCAGTACTTGCCGTAGGACGCGGGCGGCATCTCATCGCCTCCATTAACTTCGCCTGGGGCGACACCCGCACTGGCTGAGCCAGTATCTGTCCCTCTACACCACTCACAGCCTTCCAACGCCGCGTCCATCACGCTCCCGTCCACAGCAGCAGGCGGCGGCGAGGCTAGGCCCCGGCGCCGCGCGCGCCCACCACCGGCTATTGGAGGATCACGTGCGACAAGTCCTCCGTGCACTCCTCGCTGGGAGAGACGGCGCTCTCCTCTGTGGGAGACACGCTCGCGCTGTCCGGCGGAGAGGCGTCCTCCTGCTCCTGAGCCTCCTCAGCAGAGTCCGGGTCCTCCTCGTCGGCAGCTGCGGCGGCGGTGGCGGCGGCGGCGGTGGTGGTCGCGGCCGCGGACGGTGCGGCGGCAGCGGACAGCCGCTTCCCGGAGGGAGCGGAGGCCGCCACCGCCGCTTGCTTTGATTGTCAGGCTTTCCGCGAGTCTTCCCGCTCGCCCATGTGGAGGGCGCGCATCATGCGGTCCATCACCTTATGGTGGAAGCCGGAGAAGGAGCCGGGCGCGCTCTGCGAGGGGCTGCCGGCGGCCGCCTGCTGGCTGCTGCGCCGCCGAGCGGGAGGCACCAGCCGGTTCGGGGGCGAGCACGCCGTCTGGGAGAGGTTCGAGCCCCGCGACGAGGAGCGGCTCTGGTAGCGCGCCGGCCATCCGTCGACGGCAGGAGAGCAGGAGAGCGAGCTGCCCGGCGGCCGGCTGCCGAAACTGGGGCCGCGGCTGAACGCCTGGCTGCTCTCAGAGGTGGTCCGACTGCGCGCCGAGCGGGGGCCGTGCTCTCGCCGGCTCTTGGCGCTACTGCCGTATATGTCCCACTCCTTCTTCACCACAGGAACCATAAAAGCCATGGCTGGTGTCGTGCCTCACTCGGTGGTCCGTCTGTGTATCCCTCGCGGTGTGGATCAGCTCGGCACTGACTGGGGCGCGGTCCGTGTCTCACCTTACGCCGTGACTGCTGCCGGCAGACTCTGCCGCCTACGTCAGCCACACGACAGAAATCGATGACCGCCGACGGTACCGGGCCGGCCTCTGATTGGTGGAGATCGGAGGAGCTGCCGCGCGCCGGCCAATCAGAGCTCGCCTCGGAGCGACATCGACCCGGCGAGCCACGAGGAGGCCGCGAACGTAAACATGGAGTCACGGCGAGTCACGGCGTGTCACGACTCACTGACTCGCCCCTGACCGCCACGGTCAAAGGGTGCGGCCGCGGTCTGAGAGGCTGAGAGACGCCGCCCACTCACTGGGGAAACAGCGAGTACGGGCGGGGAGTGTCTGACACGCGGTAGGCCGCCGACCGTGCCACGCCCAGATCTCTGGTCCCGGTGGACGGGGGGGGGGGGGAGGGTGGAAGGCCAGGCAGAGCGGAAAATCACCGGATGGGCCGGCAGCCGCGGCGGTGACCCCTGATCTCTGCATACCTTACCCCGCCCAGTCACTCCCACATAGCGACAACTGACGGCAGCATCACAACCATAATAACGTCATCATAAGGTCATAAAACGACGAGCCAAAACCGCACCTATCCGTGCTTCTATCCTCAGGATACGGAAATCCTTCTCCTCCAAGCCGCAACCCCCCTCCGGTCTGGACAGGCAACTTTATCTCATGCGGGCTGCTCCCTTGGAGCGGCACCGCTGCTCCTGAGGGAGCGCGCCCCGTAGCCGGGTGCAGTGAGTGCCTTGGGGCTGGGTGGCCTGTCTCTGGACGGGCTCAACCCCGGCGACTCACTAGGGTGCCTGCCCAGACCAATGTCTCCCCCTAATTCCTATCATCCTTCCGGCTCTGCAATGGTCTTGTCGACCGAAAGGGCCTAACCCAACAAAACAAAAAACAAAACAAAACAAACGAGCCAAAACGGCGACCTTTCGCCTCATTTCCGCTCGTCAATGTCCAATAACCGTTTCAGGAGGGTATTTATACCCGTTGCTAGCCCCTCTGGCTAACCTTACACTCCAGTTGGCTAGTTAGTTGACCAGTAAAGCGGCACTCTCTCCCAACCAAGACGGTCGAGCCCGATCGAGCCTGAAGCCCCAGGGAAGCCGATCAATAGATGTCTGGTGGGCTGGGCGTCAGAAAAGGTTCGCTCCAACGCCGCATGAGGTCATGAGGTCCACAAAGTAACCCTTGTGACGTGACGGGACAGCATGCGTGACCTGGCGCGTCACCCACTACACCCCACCGCGGCGGAATATCCCACTTGAACCGTGATGTGACGACACTCCCGGCGCGGACGTGACGTGATCGCCTCCCGCCCCGGACCATGGGTGGTGTGTTTGTTATCGTTGGTGAGACGGACCGTTGCACGTTGATACATGTTCGACTGATCGAGACTGGTGACGGGGGATTCGGTCTGCCACACACGGTGAGGGGAGGGGAGAGGAGGAGAGGGGAGGGGTCAACTGTCTCCTGCGGAGGGTGACTGACACCTCTCATAGGGAGGAGAGGAGGAGAGTGAGGTGATGGGTCAGCATTCAGCAGTCTCCCAGCAGAGAATGACTGACACATTTCATACCAGGGTGATACCGGTGGGACGAGAGGTCAAGGCGGAGTGGTTGGAGCAGATACGGCCTTGTGCATCAGCCTTATAGCGATAAAAATCGTAAAAAGTTATAATCGCACAATTCAAGCTGCACCTCTCGCCTTTCGAATCGTGAGAGTTTTAACAAGTGTTCCCTGAACTGACCGGCCGCTCACAAAATCGCGTAGGTTTCCGAAACCACGCGTCGTCCGTCATCTAACAAAAAATACGCAGTATGCATTATGACTATTTGTGTCAACCGTCAATAGTAATCAATATTGGACGATACAGATTATCAGAATTTGCTCTATCAAAACATCCGTCACCCTTCAGTACATAGATATATTATCATCAGTCACATATGGTAAAAAGGTAATAAATACACGGTGGTAAGACGTGGTTGTTCCTCTCTTACATCAAAATGAGCGACCTATGAGCACCAGCAATCAGCATGGCAGCAGCCCGAGTGACTGACCTGGTCTGGCATGCCAAGACCTGTAGAAGTGCCGTTTACAGCCAGTCCCGAACCGATCCATCTCAGGCTGTGACGCCGCTATGACGTCACATACACCGGGCCGGTGCCGTGACGTCAGCAACGTTATCAGTCCTGGAACAAAGCAGACAGTAGTCATGACACTGGGATGCGATACTGGGAGGATCTAAGCACAATGCACAGCCTGCGGGGAGGGTCAGCTTGGGATAGTGTGGCGCTGGGTTATTTGGGAAGGGTGGGGTGGAAAGGGTACCTAGCAGCATGACAAGCCAGAAGCAGTGATTAGCTGTACCGAATAATGACGGCAACACTTAAGGGGAGTAGCTTTCCAGCTATCAGATATTTTACAGATAGCATCACATTGTCTATAGCCACACGAGCCACAGTCCCTCTCCCCGAACTGCGCCATCTGGTTGCGGACGTCTGGAGTCATTTAACGTGATCGTCGTGAGTCGTCATCCACATCTGGGACCAGAACTAATTAGTTGCTTGGACATTGGATATAAGTTTGATAATTCAATTCAGAATTCAGATTCCGGCAGCATTTGGAAGCCATTAATTAAGCACGTGGCACAGACCAACCTACCTGACCCAAGAACTAATGCCTTATGGGTCCAGATACGGCCGGCTGTCGTACACTCATTCATCAGACTACCCCCTCCCCTCCCCTCCCACCCGTACAGGGCGCAGGTGCAGGCACAATGAGCAGGGGGAGGGAAGGTCAGTGCGTACGGGCTCGCTGCAACAGTGCAGGTCATCGTCGGTTGCAGAGTTCAAACTACGCAGTCGGCCGCCAGCCGCCTACTACGCGTCGCGCCGCGCTGGCGGGTGGCGGCGGCGGCGGCGGCGGCGGCGGGGGCGGGGGCGGCAGTGGTCTGGGAGATCGATACGATACCCACCGCCGAAGGGAGGGATGGGTGGGGGCGGAGAGTTCAGATTGGTAGTGGAAGCCAATGTTCTGACGCAAGAAATGTTAATGACGGTTCAGTATTCGGAATCGCTAGTAGCATTTATTAGATTATCCATGTGCCGCTGTGGTTACGTTCACGGCCCACATGAGGATTCCCTAGACCTCTTCAGACAATTCCAAGGAAGATGCAGCGCAGGAAGCACATACCAATGTCAAACGCTTGAATGGCACATAAGCCTAGAAAATGATAAATGGGAATGAACCAATTGAAAATAATGGCTCAGCTGTGAATAATAGCAATTTATAACTGTCGACGCAGTGCATTACAAAACATGCAAACTATTATCGTGCTTAAAGTTTTGATGATCTATGCGGAGGATAATAATGATAAGAATCGAGGAATTGTATGGCTAGTGATGGGGAGGAGGAAGGGGGGGGGAGGAGGGTACCGATTCGAACCGCTTTGACGCTCATGGTTTACTCATGATCGAAACATGATCTGAGACATCATAAGGCAGACGCAATGCAGTCAAAATTAAACCAGTGAACGGGGAAGACCACATCCTTCTATAAGAGCACTCACACGTCTCTCTCAAGTCTCAACTCCGCCATATACCCAGAACGCCAAGATCAGACGGTCAGAATGTCAGGATCTGCGCAGCTCGCTTTGAGTTCTAATCAAAGATATGACACCATGCATGACTGGGCCAGCAGATAAAGCTTCTGATGAAAGGACGGCGGAGATACGTTGGCGCATTGTTGCGACTTATATAACGTTGTTTGTTATTGTCCATGATGGGTACTGGATATTGATAGTCTCCGAGAGATCATCAATCGGCTGCCCCTGTCACACTGCGACAACGTGACCACGGGATGACATTGGCGAGCCTACAGCTAGGCAGGCTGGAATAGGAGCGAGGAGCGAACAGGAGAGGAACTGTTGCCCCCGCCGCACAACAACGAGCACTTAAGAAGTCAGAAGGGATCGGCCCCAGTCGGGATCAAACGTAACCAGCTATTGCCTGCCATCATCTCCGATCAGGTGATATCGACTAGCCCCTAGTGTAACCCTGAAGCAGACGACTAACCATACAGTCCGGGTAGGAACCCATCAAACTACCTCCTTACTCCTTAGGTCACCAACTGACCCCGAGAGGTCCAGACCAAAAATCGGTGGTTCGGTCACTCACCGTTGACATCCCATCGTGAACCCATTACGCCCAGCTTTCCGGTCTGCCGACGTTGCCGTTAGCTGGCCGAGCTGCGTCGGTGAGCCGTCTGGGAGATGGAGGGCCGACGGACTCGCAACACCGGGGAACCTGAAACACAAAGCAGGGTCGGGTCTTCAATTCCGATCTTCGTCCATGAAGAACGTGGTGTTGCCATTTGTGTAGCAGAGATCCGCAGCACTAGCTTTTCCCACGATTTATTCAGTTTCAATTCTGATGCGTAGTCTGGCCATCAAATACGCAGCGGACATTCAAAATAAATAAATAAACCTGCTTGCAAATCATCAGACAGTGGTGAATAGCTGGTGCATGAATGTGTGATGAGACCAGCTAAGCGGTCGGCCTGTCCATTTGGACGGGCTCAGCCCCGGCGACTCTCTAGGGTGCCTGCCCGGACCAATGCCTCCCCCTAATTCCTATCATCCTTCCGGCTCTGAAATGGTCTTGTCAGACCGAAAGGGCCTAACCCAACAAAACAACCGAGACCAGCTAAGCGGGCTATCCACAGACTCGCAGAACCGCTATATAAGGGCTATCGAAACCAACGATGATCACATACACTAGACTCTCACCGATACTAGACTGATACTAGACTGTTATATACTAGACCCTCACCGGGGAGAGCTGAGGGGCTGTCCAGAGAGAGTCCGCGGAGTCGACCGGCGGCCACCGACGGTCGGCTCCGTACCGGGGTGTAGATGATACTGCCATCTGTCGGACAAATGAATAAGCAATGATGACATAAGCCAACCGGCGAGCGGCTCTGCTGCTGTATGGCCTGGGGCGATTGGTCACAAACGTTATCACGACGCCACGGAGTCACTGGTCATACAATAGGTATATTTACAGAACCTACAAACCAACAGCTAGAAGTGAGCACTGAATATCGTAAATATAACTGAAGACACAACCAACCAGCTGAGGACCGCCTCACAGTGAACTCCCAGGCCGCCTGTCAGTCCAGTCGGGTTGGATCAATCACTGCCATTATGACCAGCCACTCTACCCACTCACCAGGCGCCTTCAGCGGGCGGGGGAACGCCTCTCGGGCCGGCGGCGGCGCCCGCTCCCCAGTCACCAGCCAGGCGGGGGCCGAGGGCGCCGGCTGGCCGGTCCTCAGCGGCAGGAGCCGCTCTGTACGGCAGCGCCGGCGGCGGCGAGCGGCAGACGAGCCCGCTCCACCCCCGGCCGCCGCCAGCTGCTCCAACTCCTCCTCTGAGAGCTCCGAGAGAAGCTGCAGACCTGCGGAAAGAGAGACAAGGATGGCGTCAGGAGTCAGGACCCGGCACTGGCCTACGAACACAAGACACTGGCGACTGCAGTAATTATCAATAGTCACACATGGCATCTCGGCCCAAGAAGAGCAAGAAAAAAGGCTACGCTGGTATACCCAAACTCTGCGTATACTAGTCTAATTTGAGCACAGGCCAGCCAATAGGAGCCGAAGTCCCCTCTCCCCCGGTAGAGAGACATCTCTCCCGAGTCCCGGTAAATACACCTTCGGTGTGTATCTCTCCCTAGAGCGCCCATACATCCCTCATTCGTCTATACATAGGCCTATCAGGTACTCCCTTCCCAGTTATAAGCGTTCCGCCATACCCCAGGCTGCTCCCCCCTTACGTACACTGCGCCTGCGTCGCCGGCCCGCTGACCGCCCTCAGAGGACAGCGTGCCAGCCTCCTCAGTCTCAGACGCGCCGCGCACAGCCGACGAGCCAGCAGCAGCAGCGGCGGCGGTCGAACCTGGAAGGTAGGCAGCGCGAGGCCGCGACCCACTGCCGCCGCATCCGGTCGGCGCCGAGCGCAGCCGGTCCGAACTGCCGCCGGAGGCCGAGGGATGGGCGGGGGCGGCCGGAGCGGCCGCCGCTCGGTAGCAGAGGCATAAGCATCTGTAGGGAGACAGAGAACCATGAGAGTGGGTCAATTAGCCACATTTTCTAGAGTTGGTAAGCTGACTCCAACAGACACTGAGTAAACTGACCAGAGGATGAAGAGTTAGCAAACTGAAGTGGGTAAACTGACGACGATTATTGGTGCAAGTCTATAAACTGAGCATAAAGTGGGGACGTCGGTAAAGTCGCTTCGGGTTGGGTCCATCAACTGACCACATTATTGGGGTAGCGACCACATTATTGGGGTAGCAAACAGCAAATAAACCGAACGCGGGTAGGCGGATTCACTAAATTGACCGCGGTTAGGGAAATGCGAGTATATAAGCTGAGCGAGATAGAGGAGTCTGTTAACACCAAACAGCTGCTGAAGTCGGTAATTGATGAAGTCTATAACCTAATCACATTATTGACAGGGCCAACAAAATGACCGCGGGTGGGCGGGTCGGTAAACTGACACGGTAGGGAGAGCCATAAACTGACCACGGGTAGGGGGGCGCCGCAGACCTCCGTAGCGCCGCCAGTGGAGCCAGCACGGACCGCAGAGCCGCCTCCAGCCCCAGGCGAACCAGCGAGACGCCCGGCTGGCTGTGGAGACACACAAACGGTGGTCACTGGTCAGAGAACAGGGCTGCGTAGGAGTATACCGAGCACGACATTCATACACCAATACACACAGATGGTCGTCAGACAGTATGAAGTGTCGACATCACCCCTGAGAGGTATGTCACCGGATTCGCCTGGCTTGACACTCCTACTGTGATCTGAAACCGACCATACCCTGAGTCTGACAGACCTGCCCTGACCCTCCAACCATACTCAAATCCGCCTTTGGCACGCCACCGTCCGCCATCCTCCCAGAGTGTACATCTCCGCGTGACCCCGCCGCTGCCGCGCCCTGACCCCGTCTCTCACCGGAGCAGCCGGCGCAGGCGGGTCCCCCTGCGTGGCCCCGGTCGGGTGACATCTGCCCGCCCTCCGCTCCCTCCCAGCGGCCACAGTCGGGCAGCAGGAGGCGGATCGGTCGGCCAGACGCCGCCGCCGCCTTGGTTAGTCGCCGGCGTAGGTAGCGGTCGGCGGTCTTCCATAGGTAGTAGTACTCTACCAGCTGGGCAGTGCTCTTCCATGGGAGCTGAGGGCGAGAGGGGGTTTTTACGGAGATCTAAGAGGAAGACCGACGAATCACGATTCGTCTCTGCTTAAAGAAAGAGTAACATCGACACACGTTTTGACATTCCAGTGTTTGCGCTAGCCACACAAAAATTCGCCAACTAGCAACCACCTTCGCTAAAAAAAGTCACATCCCAGCTACTCACAAAATCCCGTCGAATATCGCCGAACGCCTTTCCACACTTGTTCATAGCCTTCTCAAACAGCTGTGCCTCGGAGACCGTCCAGGCATCCAGCTGATCACGGCACAGCGTCAGCCGCTCTGCTCGGCGACCGGCCACAAGTCCGGAGAGAGCTGCTGGAAGGCGGTAGTCGGCCGCGTGGAGCGCGTCCAGCGCGTGCTGGGTGGTGGCGTCCCGGCCGGCAGCGGCCGCGGCTAAGTGGAGACTGGCGCCGCACCGACCGGTCACTGAGGGGTCCAGGGCGCGTGCCAGGGTGCCCACTGAGCTGTGAAGGAGAAGAGGGCGGTCAGATTGGGGAGGAAGTGGGTCGGGCTTTCAGATTCCCCTATCTTAGTTCGCATATTGCAGGTCATTCATGGTAAAACAAAGTCAATCATCTGCCTTTGGCGCATAATGTTAGCCAGTTTAGTTGGGGTTGGGTCAGATTGGGCATGGGCAAGGTCAGAGGTCAGAGAAGATAGGAACGGGGCAAATCAGATCATATCAGGTCAGGTCAGTCCATCAGCCCACAGCGGCGACTTCTTACCGAGCCAGCCTGAGGAAGGTGTCCACCTCAGCGTCGTCGATCCGCCCCGGAGTCCAGAGCAGCGTCTCCAGTGGCTCGGCTCTCTCCAGGTCCGGCTCTCCGGGCCGGAGGGGGCAGCGGTCTGCTGGAGATGCCGCCTGGTACTCCTCCCCGACCCTGATCTCCCCACGGTCCGCCACAAGACTGCGCTGAGCCGGATCGAACAGCAGACAGTAGTAGAACGAGTTCTGGAAGGAACGGAGCTTCCGTCACCGCGTGTTGAAATGTTTGTTTGTTCGTTGGTATTTTGCTTATGAGGTAGATGCTCCGGACGAATGAGAGTCATAACTATGATTCAGTAATGTCTTATGTACGATGTCACAATGTATAAGGCGAATCAGCTCAGCTGTCTGCTGTCGGCTTTCCGACCCGACCGACACAATGTATGGCGGTACAGCCTACCGGGCGGTGCCGTGCTGCGCGGTCCCACGTGGTGATTGGTCGGCCGCTGACCACGTGATTGTGAGGCGAGGTCGGGTGGGGTCGCGCCGGCGGAGGGCAGTCGGGTAGTGTCAGACTTGTCGCGGCTGGGTGTGTTGGGATTTCGAATGCATCTCCACTTGCTCGAGTGTGGGAAATTCGTCAGTAACGGCATTCTCTCTGCTTCCTGCTAGATCTAAATAGTAGGCAGTGGCCAGTGAGCCAGTCGACCTGCACCATGTTCAGATAGTGTCGGACCATTAAAGTGCTGCATCCGGATGGCGGTAGTATAATTATGTACTATCCAGAAAGTGGCAGGCAAAGTCCCTCACCTCCTTTTCCAGGTAGTGGTGCGGCTGCTCGGCACCGCTCAGCAGGCCCACCGAACAGCGGCCGCGGATCCGGGTCACCGGCACCAACTCTGTCTGACGGGACGGGAACAGCTCGCGCTGCCGGGACAGGTGACGGCGCAAAGCGCCCTCACGACCGGTCGGCTCACCGCCCGGCCACACGTCAGCGGCTGCGGGAGTCACGGATCGGTCAGTGACAGCAACATCGAATGCAAGAACTATCAGCGATATCCCAAGGTTTGGTAAAAATATACACTATATGTATTGTCTCGACACGTACCTACACGCCGCAAGATCTGACTGGCCGGCCAGCCGCCGTGGCGCCATATTCAACACTCGATTTACCGTAACCCACGGTTCCCTTGTATGACGGTAATGCTCTACCGCTCGACCAGCCGAAACAACAGCACATATTTTACAATGCATTTACATGGCTTTGTAACTCACGATACACAACCACCGATCACAATGTGTCAACCCCAAAAGCAAACACCACCCAAGGGCACAAGATATCAACCAATGAAACAACTGATCACAAAACAGGTGAGGGCTATGGTTCAAATGCCTGCCTTAGACAAGACTAAACAAATCACACCACTGAACTTTGGTTGCAATCTGATTAGGGCATCCTCTATACATACTGATCAGTGATCAGGTGCTGCCTGTCATCAAAATCATACCAAATCATTCACACACCAAATGAAACTGAAGAGCTTCAGCACAGGGCCTTTATTAGGTAGGTAGGTATCTTATCTTCAAAAATTTAAAATTTCTAATAGATGCACAAACCATCATCTACCATGGAGTGTGTCTGCCAGTGAGATGAGGGAGGGTGGCAGATTGGTCCTGCGGTAGACACATGTCACTTTGGCCTCCACAGGGCCCTCAGCTCCCTGTAAAGCATGGAGGGACAGGTTCTTAATAGCTCACATGTTTTCAGGTCACACACCAGTGTTATAATGTAATACAAACAAGACAAATGTCTCATATTAATTGAATTGACAGTTATGGCTCACCAGTCACCACTCCACACTCACCAGCTTAAAATCTTCTATCCGCCGAATCTGGTATGGGGTCGTAGATGATGTCTCAATGTAAACATAATCTGTAAAAGGCATACCTTTGTCTGTAAAGTGTTGATAAATATTTTGAATCAAGGGGCCAATCTCATTATAATATCCATATTTTCATTACAAGAATTCGAAATGCTCAAGAAAATGAAATGTTAAGTTTAAGTTATACAAAACTCTAAAAAATGAAATGAAAAAATTACATAGGAATTGAAACTTGAAAGCAATGAAAATTAGGAAGAAACAAGAAAATAATGTCTTCTGCAGTGTCACCACAAACAAGCCCAATCACAATGGTGAGTCGGCACTTACCTCCAGCTTGATACAAGCTTGAACTCATTGTTGCCACCGATACAAACTTAAAACAAAGCTGAAATCAAAAGTAGGACACTGCACTTCACACGCCTTTGGCAAGATGCGCGCTGTTGTTGTTGTTGTTGTTTTTGTTGTTGTTGAAGAGTTAGGGCGCCAAGATGCGCGCTGCACATACGTCAAACTTTATACATGCTAGCCATACTGCCTTGTGCTAGCCCACCCAGGAGGCACCAAGGTATATAGTATACAAACTAATAAAAACACGCTCAGGCTCCCTTCCCATGCACGCCATGCACATCAACATAAACATGCAACAACAGTGCTATGGGACTCCGGCAGCAACAAAACTTGCGTGCGTATATTTCGAATCTCGAGCGTCAATTTTGTAAATAAATTTTATAGAGCTGTAAATACCACTAATAAACAATCAACCTTGCTTTTTCAGCTTAGATGTTTCTTATTTGTTTTCACAAATATTTTTGGTCCCATGTTAGCTCCCCTTTCTTGTATATGATTTGGAACTTAGGGTGAGTTTCGAATGATGTTTTTTGACAAAATCATCAGTTTTACCATCTCTATAAACAAATCCCATCCACGAGTGGAGTGAGTGAAGGCAGGGGGCGTCGAAGTCTAGTTCCTACCAAACTGGCACTCCCATGCCTACGTCACCACGAGGACGCCCGAGGGCATTTACATGTTGAAGATAGGGAAATTGCCATAGTTTAGAGCCGCCTGGAGGGCAACCTTGAGATAGATGATAATGTAAATGTGTGCTAATATGATCATCAACATGTCATTTATCCAAATCCAGGGTCAATTAATCGATATCTTGTCACGTTTTCCAGTGGTGATGCGCTAACTTTCGTGGTTCTTGCAGCCAATAAGGGTGTTTCATAGTGCGATTCAGCCGCATTATCGACTTTAATGCCATAAACCGCCACGGAACATATGATTTGCAGCTCCCTGGCGTGATAGCTGCCAGTAGGGCTTCAGAGTCGGAGTCATGAAGTCGGTCGGAGTTGACAGTTCTGACCTGAGTCGTCGAGTCAGAGTCAGAGTCGATTTTATAAGCTGGAGTCTGAGTCAGTCACCGAAATTCGATCCCCTCCGCAGACCTTTCAGGGTTCCGTAGTCGGAGTTGTAGTCGGTCCGAGTCGACAGTTCTGACCAGAGTCAGAGTCAGAGTCGATTTTGAAAGCCAGAGTCGGAGTCGGAGTCACCAAAAATCCATTGCCTCCGCAGACCTGCTAGGGCTGTGGAGTCGGAGTCGGTCAGAGCCGACATTTGAAATCAAAGTCAGAGTTGATGTTTGAAAGTCTGAGTCAGAGTCGGAGTCATCAAGAAACCCATGGACGATCTGCAGTGCCATGCAGTAAGGGCGCTGCCGATCGATGCCCTGAATTGCCTATGCTTTATAATTTATAAATTGAATGAATAGATGGCAATTAATTAGGTACCTTCTATTATTCATCCCTTGCCACTTGGAGGACTTACTTTCAGTAGAAAAAGGCGCATTATTTGTTTGTTTATTTATTGACAAATATTTTTTAAGCAGTTAGGGATACAGACACAAAACACAATGATAGCATTAGCACCTCGCTGGTGCAAATCATTGCTAGATAGATGTTGAAATGTGTTGCCATTGAAGTATCTACTGATTTTCCTGGCGGCTCTCGTTTTCAAGTAACTACTGGTCTTGTAAGATGTCTTGATTGCTCACCGTCTGGCGTCTAGTTCCAAGGTTTTCTGAAAGCTAATCAAACGTTACCATGGCTGCTCTTGATGGCATAGCGCTTGCTGGTTCTGGGTTCTTATTTGGTGGTTCTTGCGTCTGATCTTGTTGCTTCATGTTCCATCACATCACATTAAATTTCTAATGGAACAGACACTTCTACCTTTTATTTCACTCTCAGTCGACTTGCATTAACCCATGTGGCCTGCTGGCCCTTTTATTTCCACGATAGAATCTACCAATTATTGAAAAAGCCTCGGATAAAAAGCAAGAAGACTATGTCAAGTTAAATAATTGCGACGGTCCTAGAAAACCAGAAGAAAATATCAAATAGCCTCTCCATCTCACTTCCCTCACTTCATAACAAAAACTTCGCAGCAAAACATGCGAAAGAGTCCTTAGCAACGCCTTAGCAACGCACTTGTCTGAAGTGCGCAATATGTGTCGCATCTGGAAAATTTAGTAGCTACTTGATTATTCAACTAGAGTTGGACTATATAAGCTAGGCTTTAATATAGAAAATAAGTGTTTGCTTATCGAATTTATAGCAACTGGTTGCTTAACTTCGAAATAATGATTTATTACAGAAAAAGCTTGTTTCCGACATATTTGTAAAGAAACAACGGAAATAGCTTTGACTCGTACGCTATTCTAGTACATTTTTGGTAGAAAACTTCGTCCAACCTATGTGCGTGAAGTTGGCGTCGGATTCGGATTCGTATTCAGCGTCGAGTACCGAATCACTTGAAAACGTCATATCTGGTCAATTCGGGGACGGGGAGCACGAATATGACATTAATTTTGCCCTAGCAGGTATCCCTTATCCCTTAATCGTCCCTTAAACGACGGGGCGCGCCAAAAGTGCCTCAGGGGTTCTTCCGATCGCGAAAAGAATGGTCCCAGGCGATTCCCCGGGTCGATATCTAGCCGCACCACCACTAACTTCACACGTGCCTCATATCCCTTATCCCTTAATCGTCCCTTAAATGACGGGGCGCGCCAAAAGTGCCTCAGGGGTTCTTCTGATCGCGAAAATAATGGTCCCAGGCGATTCCCCGGGTCGATATCTAGCCGCACCACCACTAACTTCACACGTGCCTCATATCCCTTATCCCTTAATCGTCCCTTAAATGACGGGGCGCGCCAAAAGTGCCTCAGGGGTTCTTCCGATCGCGAAAAGAATGGTCCCAGGCGATTCCCCGGGTCGATATCTAGCCGCACCACCACTAACTTCACACGTGCCTCATATCCCTTATCCCTTAATCGTCCCTTAAATGACGGGGCGCGCCAAAAGTGCCTCAGGGGTTCTTCCGATCGCGAAAAGAATGGTCCCAGGCGATTCCCCGGGTCGATATCTAGCCGCACCACCACTAACTTCACACGTGCCTCATATCCCTTATCCCTTAATCGTCCCTTAAATGACGGGGCGCGCCAAAAGTGCCTCAGGGGTTCTTCCGATCGCGAAAAGAATGGTCCCAGGCGATTCCCCGGGTCGATATCTAGCCGCACCACCACTAACTTCACACGTGCCTCATATCCCTTATCCCTTAATCGTCCCTTAAATGACGGGGCGCGCCAAAAGTGCCTCAGGGGCTCTTCCGATCGCGAAAATAATGGTCCCAGGCGATTCCCCGGGTCGATATCTAGCCGCACCACCACTAACTTCACACGTGCCTCATATCCCTTATCCCTTAATCGTCCCTTAAATGACGGGGCGCGCCAAAAGTGCCTCAGGGGCTCTTCCGATCGCGAAAAGAATGGTCCCAGGCGATTCCCCGGGTCGATATCTAGCCGCACCACCACTAACTTCACACGTGCCTCACATCCCTCATCCCTTAATCGTCCCTTAAACGACGGGGCGCGCCAAAAGTGCCTCAGGGGTTCTTCCGATCGCGAAAAGAATGGTCCCAGGCGATTCCCCGGGTCGATATCTAGCCGCACCACCACTAACTTCACACGTGCCTCATATCCCTTATCCCTTAATCGTCCCTTAAATGACGGGGCGCGCCAAAAGTGCCTCAGGGGTTCTTCCGATCGCGAAAAGAATGGTCCCAGGCGATTCCCCGGGTCGATATCTAGCCGCACCACCACTAACTTCACACGTGCCTCATATCCCTTATCCCTTAATCGTCCCTTAAATGACGGGGCGCGCCAAAAGTGCCTCAGGGGCTCTTCCGATCGCGAAAATAATGGTCCCAGGCGATTCCCCGGGTCGATATCTAGCCGCACCACCACTAACTTCACACGTGCCTCATATCCCTTATCCCTTAATCGTCCCTTAAATGACGGGGCGCGCCAAAAGTGCCTCAGGGGCTCTTCCGATCGCGAAAATAATGGTCCCAGGCGATTCCCCGGGTCGATATCTTGCCGCACCACCACTAACTTCACACGTGCCTCACATCCCTCATCCCTTAATCGTCCCTTAAACGACGGGGCGCGCCAAAAGTGCCTCAGGGGTTCTTCCGATCGCGAAAAGAATGGTCCCAGGCGATTCCCCGGGTCGATATCTTAGTTAGTGGTGGTGCGGCTAGATATCGACCCGGGGAATCGCCTGGGACCATTATTTTCGTGATCGGAAGAGCCCCTGAGGCACTTTTGGCGCGCCCCATCGTTTAAGGGACGATTAAGGGATAAGGGATATGAGGCACGTGTGAAGTTAGTGGTGGTGCGGCTAGATATCGACCCGGGGAATCGCCTGGGACCATTATTTTCGCGATCAGAAGAACCCCTGAGGCACTTTTTGCGCGCCCCGTCATTTAAGGGACGATTAAGGGATGAGGGATATGAGGCACGTGTGAAGTTAGTGGTGGTGCGGCTAGATATCGACCCGGGGAATCGCCTGGGACCATTATTTTCGCGATCAGAAGAACCCCTGAGGCACTTTTGGCGCGCCCCGTCATTTAAGGGACGATTAAGGGATAAGGGATATGAGGCACGTGTGAAGTTAGTGGTGGTGCGGCTAGATATCGACCCGGGGAATCGCCTGGGACCATTCTTTTCGCGATCGGAAGAGCCCCTGAGGCACTTTTGGCGCGCCCCGTCATTTAAGGGACGATTAAGGGATAAGGGATATGAGGCACGTGTGAAGTTAGTGGTGGTGCGGCTAGATATCGACCCGGGGAATCGCCTGGGACCATTCTTTTCGCGATCGGAAGAACCCCTGAGGCACTTTTGGCGCGCCCCGTCATTTAAGGGACGATTAAGGGATAAGGGATATGAGGCACGTGTGAAGTTAGTGGTGGTGCGGCTAGATATCGACCCGGGGAATCGCCTGGGACCATTCTTTTCGCGATCGGAAGAACCCCTGAGGCACTTTTGGCGCGCCCCGTCATTTAAGGGACGATTAAGGGATAAGGGATATGAGGCACGTGTGAAGTTAGTGGTGGTGCGGCTAGATATCGACCCGGGGAATCGCCTGGGACCATTATTTTCGCGATCGGAAGAACCCTTGAGGCACTTTTGGCGCGCCCCGTCATTTAAGGGACGATTAAGGGATAAGGGATATGAGGCACGTGTGAAGTTAGTGGTGGTGCGGCTAGATATCGACCCGGGGAATCGCCTGGGACCATTCTTTTCGCGATCGGAAGAACCCCTGAGGCACTTTTGGCGCGCCCCGTCGTTTAAGGGACGATTAAGGGATGAGGGATGTGAGGCACGTGTGAAGTTAGTGGTGGTGCG